CGGCTCCTGGGTAAACTCTCTTCCTCTCTCTTAATACGTATCTACACCGGCATGATGGCGTGGTGTTTAACCTAAAAGGAAACGGCTTATCAAAGCTTGCAGCTTTTTACCCCAACTTTATAGTGTGTGAGCAGGTCCACAGGTGTGTTTGTGAGATACCGACGGAAAAGACAAGAAATTAAAACGTAAATATTTCATATCTGTGCTGTCAATCTTTACAGATTTTTTTTTTAGCGGATGGGATAACACCTCAAAGAGTTTTTAAAGCCAGCCAAATCAATAATGAGAATTTTACGAAGGAAATATGCAACACCATTATGAGTATGATCCAGATTCACTGGTATAACAGAAGATATTACATTACCGGCCTGACAAACATCTGATGTTCTGTATGTAGCGACAAGAGACATATACAGCGTGAAGTAATAACGCCTTGAGCCATAATTAACTGCAGAAGACAGAGCACCTGCTTTTCTTAAACAAGAGCGAGTCAGAGTTTAGCTCACTGATTTGACTTTACAACCTAATCCTATCGGAGGAATATGATTTCGATCTGCCAAGAACAGCTGCTCATCCGTGCCTTTCCTCTTGGGTTGCTCCCTGCCTCACCTTAAACATAAAAAATGCAGGTCCAATTTGACCGGGGGTCATCCATATGGAACACCCAGGAACGTATAGAATGAGTCTCTTACAAGAAAACAAAGATATGGTTGTAAGAAATTAAACCATAAATTGTTAACATAAGAAGAATTATCTCCCACTGCCTTGAAGAAATGTATATATTGCATTAACAATTGGTGGGTCCCTTGTGGATATTTGATGAAATTGTATTTTATTTTGTATAAACGCTTCACATTAAACATTTAAAGACGCAACTAGGTCTGAACGATTTGGAAATTATACATCATAGCAATTATTAAGACTGATATTGCAATTGTAATAGGATTCACAATTTCTTCAAGGAATGGCTTCATCATTATTCTCATTGAGAAATCTAATAAAATTAACATAGTGGATTTATTTCCCAGTGTGTAGAATACAATATTCAACTCTGTACATCTCTGCAATACTTAATTTAGAAGTATTACAACACATTTTTTACCTCCTGAAATCTGAATATTGTACTATAACGTTATTTTGATTCATTGTTTAGCCCCAATGCCAACATTGCATCAATCTACTGTCTTGTTAAGTTTGCAAGTGTATTTCTCAAATGCAAAATCATGTGCTATGATCTCTCCTGTTCATACCCGCCTGCCTGGAAACATCTTCAGGAACAGATGCTTTGAGTTGCATATTTCTAAACCGAACAAAGCATCATGAAAAATGGTAAATATGTTCTGAATTACCAGCATGTGTGTTTTGAAGCCCCAGGCTGTTCTTCTCCATATGTCTCATTCACATTCATCCTTTTCTGAGTGTTTTCATAACCGGACAAAAAGCAGCCACACGGTAAAAATCCGAAAGCAGAAGAACGACGACTGTGATCGCGTGCACATCCTGGCATTTGTGTGGATGTCACATTAATAACGAATATAATGAAGAAATTCTTTGTGAGGTATCAGTGTAATCAAAGCAATAAATGCCTCTTCTGTGTTTGCATTCAACAAATACTAATAGTTTGTTAAATAAAAGCCACATTCATTTATTTCGCCCATTAAACTAAATCACTCATAAAATTAGATAATAACAAAGGGTGGGTATGATTTCTACTGAATAATCTGACTCAACTTGTTCACTGTCACAGAACCTCCAGCCACTGACGCCTTTCAAGGTTACTCAGGACAAAAACATTGGGAAGGATTCTTTCAAGCACTGCAAAAGTAGGAGGCTTGTATCGAACCAACATCTGCAAACGCATCAAGAACCATCCACATTCTCTGGACTCGGCTCCTTCTTTCCATTCGTGCTGGGCAACTTTATAAAAACAGATATGATATATCCTAATGCAATGCGATCTTGATAGCGTGAGCGTGGAGATATCCAGCACAGCAGATACAGCCCAATGACTAATGGTGAGGAAAACAACACAGACAGCTGCCTTAGGTTTGCAATCTTCTATTTCATCGCCAACGGATAAACAACAGCACATTAGCAGCTAGGAAATATCAATTTCTGCATGTATTTGAGTCAGGATCTTTGGTATGTCAATTATACTGTCAAACACTCATCTGGTTATAAAAATGTCAAGCAATAACAAAGCTTTGCTTCAGCTTCACTTTGTTGTTTATTGTGACGGAGGCATTAGTTATCCCTATTATTACAGGACTATCAGTACCATCAATGCATTTTAGGTTTGAGGGTATGGAGACACAATTCTTGCCCATGAAAACAAAGCAAATGACTCATTCCAAAAACAAATGTCTATATTGATATCAGACAGGAATGCAAATATGATTTGGCACCATATATTCTTCTGAATAAGGATTGTGTAAAAGTCTATAATGATGATGTTATTAGTCTGTAAACAAATATGTATTGGAGGCAGTCTGGTGGCCTGAGGGTTTAAGACGCTGACCATGTGATCGAGTCTGGCCTGGACTCTCTCTCCCTTCATTTCCTGTCAGCTCTCTTCTATATTCTATCCAATAAAAGCAGGGAGAAAAAAAGCCCTGATAAATACCTGTACATATTTACAATGAAAATCCACCACAACAACATATAGATTGTCTTTATTAAACTGCCTTACAAAAGGGAATAATACGTGTTATGTTACATTTTTAAGGATTCACCAAAAGCCCTGACTTTTCCATTAGGTAAGGACAGACATTGAACAAGTTCAGTGTTGTGCCGCAATTCTGGGTAAAATGTCACTGTTCAGTAAGGGGGAGGCTCTGATGAGTATTACATTAGCAAAAACTATAGGCTACAATAAGTGTGATATGTTACAATTGTTAATGTACATATATGTAGCTGCAACGCTTTGAGCATTTTTATGTGGATATAGAACAGGTGGCTCACAATTTGAGAAAATGAAAATTGTATAGAACACATTTTGCATTGCACTTAATATGCTTGTGGAACAAGTGCTTTACCTCCAGCCAAATGCATAACAAAATAGGCAAAGAATATTCAACATTTTGATAATGACAATAACTGCAGGCGAAAGTTTGGTAACTTTATGATAAGGAAAAAAGTAGCTTTTTCTTACGGGTGGAAAAACTATTTTGCAATCAATAAGTCAGTTGCAACATTGAAGTAGCAGTGGACTGAGACGGTGCTATGAGCATGAGGTCATAAAGTTAAATCCAATGAATATCCTGAATATCATTTTAAATTCTCAAGGAATGTAACTGTTTCCTGCTGCTGCAGCTCTCATAGTGCCTTCGGGCAAAGCGTTGAACCAACACCTGCTCCGTTTTAAAAAGGAAATAAACTGGGGCTGTACCGGACAACTCTTAGGTATAAGACTGCGCACACGTTTCCCCCCGACCTTCACTGTAAGTATATACTGCCACAAAGTTGTTCAACGAAAATGTCTTGCTTAAAGTTATCAAATTGCCTTATATTCTGCCTCAAATTGAATAATTACCTCTATCTACAGTATGTACTCTACAGATATTTGCAATGCCATCACTTATAATTATTGTTCCTTGCAATGTCAATAACTGCCCTTTATATATTTAATGACTGATGATTCACTGACTTTATCATTCATTTCCCCATAAGACATAGGAACACTAAAGCACAATGTTTAGGTGATACACTGAGCATAACATAAAAGGCCGTATGAGTTGGTGGGGGGGGGGGGGGCTAATTATCTATGGCATGCCAATCAAGTGTTATCAATCATTTTGTAAAAGGTATGCATGTCTCTTTTTTTATAATGTTAAATAACATTTTTTTAGACCGGTAGGAATAGCAAGTTTATAGAAGTAAAGCCTTCCTCACTGAGCTGTTCTTATAACTGTCTGGAAAACTCAGTGCCCCCTAATAAATAAAGAAATAAAGCCATACCCTGGGAACTTTACAGAAATAAAGTAATCACTATCCAACAAAAAGCACTCAGGCTAAAAAATATCATTATAATGGACAACACATATTTAACATTACTGGTCTAGTAATACAATACAAATACAATTTGTCTTTCTTGATCCTTAAACATATTCCTCCATCTAGACCTGCCTTCAGTTAAGGTAGCACACACAGAACTATGCTGGCATACCCTGATATTACCACCTACCGAGCTGAATTTCCAGCCAAATACAATTTCAGCTGAACCCTGTCTAATCCATCACTACAGACATCTTTCAAAAATGACATCTTTAATTATTAATCTACTGAAAATGTCAAAGGGAAGTACAATGCGCTTTGTTCAGTGCATGGGTGTATGTCTGAATCAGTTCCCAAATATGTGCAAGCAATTTAGTTTCTAAAATAAACATACTTTCATAACGGTTATTGCCTTTACAATGACTAATTAAAAAAATACATCGTTATACATTAGAAAATAACAATTACTTTAAATAACATGTAAAAACGTAATCAAGCTTTAGTTTTCACAAATACAGAACTCCGTGTTTGACATTAGGGCGACATTTCGTTGGGGGTAAAGTGTTTTTTTTAAGCCTATTTTTACATTTACAGTATCAGTGCGTCAGGCGTTACACAATGCTATATCTGCTGGGTCAAACAGTAGCGAGGCAGTGGGCCTGAGACAGCACGCCCTTCAGTGGAACATGAGATATGTGCACACTGCACATGTGGCCACAGCGAAGAAGGGGGCGTGTCAGCCGCGTTCATCCAAAGAAGTGAAAGTGAACACACACAATATTCCCCTGCAGTTGTGTTTTATTGCTAAGCTGTTAGTGTTGAAGGGGACCATCATGCATTTAGCCTTTTTACATGACCTTGATCCACACAGCCTGCAAGAGGTGTTTACCCACAAGCCCTTTAGGCAATAAAAAGTCACACATTTATGACATGACGGGTTTCCACTGGCAGTACAAACATTAAACAAGGAATACACACTTATGTAAGTGTAGATAAAATTAACTCACCGTCTTTGAGTCTAATTCGTGGTGTTGTTGAGCTAAGACTTTATCTACACTGGCAGCATCTGTAAACGTAACAAACCCAAATCCTCTGCAAAAGACACAAAGACACAAATATTAAAATGTATACACACAAAATTAGAATACATGTTTCTTTGCAATACAAATTATTAAAAGAAAGACATTACATGTTATACTTCAGATAATATTCCTATGACCTTATTATTGTGACAATATTTATGTGTAAATGTATTTATGATCCACATTGTGAACATCCTATAGCAGATTTAAAAGAGAATCTGTGGACACTGCTGATCATTATTTTGTATGTCACAATGTGAGGCGACACTACACCAACATTGTGGTGCAGTCACAAAGTCAATGTCAAATTGCATTGGGCTGCAGCTTTACAGCAGTGAGCATTTAAGCTTATCTGGCTTGCTGTGAAACCACACGCAGGCGCGCACACGGGGACACACACGAACACATGAACGCGCGGACACACAAACACACATACACGCTGGATTAATACGAAACGAAACACGGACAAAGTGAGCGATATCGCTGCATGCACTGTGGAAGGAAAAGTAGATAAAAAGCCCTGTATTTACCTTGAGCGTTTTGTCGTGGGGTCTCTCATCACCATACATTCTCTTATTTCTCCGAATTTACTAAAATAGTCTCTAAGGCTGTCTGTGAACAGAGAAAATATGTCGGGTCATTTTGACAGAAACATATGGGCATGCTGTTGTCACTGTATTGAAATAAAAACACCCCGCGATGCGCATAGGGGTCGAATAGAGGACTTCAGATGGACGGAGATCAAAAATAACATCGTGCGCACACACTAGTGAGATATCCCATACAGTACACTACTGCACAGTGCACGAACATACACGGGCAGCAGCGAGCACTCAGTCACAGCGACAAAAACAACAAGAAATACTGGACACGTTGTAAAAGAGAATAACAGTCTCACCTGGTGAGGTTTGCCAGCTGAGGCCACCGATAAACATTTTACTGTAAGGGGAAAACACAACAGAAGTGAGTCCAGATGTCAGTTCGGCCATTTTGACGACTAACTACTTCTAAAAGCGACCTTAAAGGATAAAGGAAGACTATGAAAACACATTCGCGCTTCGTAATTATAGTCTATCTACATAAAAGGGGGAGGCTACGAAGCTGAGGTCTTAAACTGAATCTGGAAACAGACCGGTTTAAGTGCGTACTGTGAAGGGACGAATCCAACACGGCAGTCGAAGTCCTCTCTAAGATGTTGAAACATGAAAAAAACCCGTACCTTTGGATTAAATTTAGAAAGATTCTTACCCCGGGTCATGTTGTGAGTCGTTTAGGCTTCCGGATGTGGCTTGACTCCCGTCTCCTTCCATATCTATTTCAAACTATAGGCTGGGACTACAGTAACAGTGACAGACACACACAGATACGGGCAGGAGATATGCAAAGCCCCGCTATGAGAATATTACTGAGCCGGGAATGAAAGCGTCACACGTGGGATCAGCTCAGCCCCCTGCTCCCTCCTCCCTCTCGCAGCACGCTCTACCTTGGCCCGGAGGGGCGGAGCCTGCCTCTGTCACCTAACCAATCCAATTGACGTCAATTCAGGCAATCTGCAAACCAATCCTCCGATTTCTCATTTAATTAAGCACTAAACCACTAGAGGTGAAAGTGGCTTATTGCTCTTCTAAATCAGTGGACACATACCATTAAAACAAACAAAAAAATCTTTGTCCAAGAAAAGTTACACTTAATTAGCCACGTTAACATATTCAACAGACAAATCAAGCTTTTCAAAGCAGCAGTGCGATTATTTATTATACAAATTACGATATCCATCCGCCGTTTTATATAGTCCCTCTGAAAGTAGGGCATTTTTATTTTTGCATGTTAATATTTCAATTATCGTGATTTGTATGGCTTACAAATGCTTTATCAAGAAATAAGTGTATTCAATTAAAGTTGAATATTATAATAATATTGAATAAGTTATAAAATAGATATTGTGCAGCCGACTAGTATCTTTTATTTATAAAAAAGTTGAGGAGAGCATGCTTATGATAATAACTATCACTAACAACTATTGAATGTCTTATCCCGTAAAATACTGTAATAGTTTTTTTTAATGATTGCTAACCATATGATTGCAAAGTGATCCTTATTTGTTTTCAATAAGAGGTCATTGTTGGTTTAGTTAATTCATATTCTTACTAGGTGCACATTTATTAAGTCTTCCAGCTTTAAACATATTATAAATTGCATGCTATATTAACAACAATGCTGAATACAAATAGTACAAAGTACATTGAGATTGAGATTGAATCATGCAATGATACAGAAACTGAATATACAGAAGATAAGAAAATGTGCCCAACTGTAGGTGCTGACTGAGATAAGCTGATTATTGGTGAAAGTCTCATGAGCCATACAGTACGTGTTTAAGCGGGTTTCGATTGTTTGGAAAAGGTCTCCCAGCACCATACTGAATCTCTGCAGCTGACCCCGAGCATGACCTTTAGCTGCTTTATTCATTATGAAAGCCAACAAAGAGTTATCCTACAGGGATCAATAAAGTATGGTATCCATACATTCAGCGGATTTATTATGAATACTTTCATGTAGATTACCTGTAATGAGAGGCCATCCCTCCCTCCTGCACAATGCATGTGGAGATAAACTGCCTCTGCCCCCCATCACCCTGTAGAAGAAGAAGAAGAAGGAAATAATTAATAAAACAAACATGAATGACATTTGTGGGGGGGAAAAACGGTTTTTAATACACATTATTTGCAAGTATGCTCTCAATAGAATAGAAGAAAACTAAATCTCATGAACAAATTATGTTTTAAATTATGCATTATACATTTCTTTGTATCCATGGCACAGCAATCTCCAACAATACATTCTATATAAACGCAGTTTTCATTCATCTTAGCAGGAGAATAATTACAACAAAACAAGCACGGCACGAAACGTGACTAGTGATCCTTTTTCATTATTCACATTCAGTACGTTTTTTGAATAGGCCCGTCTGTACTGACTGTTCAGGGCACCACCAGAGGGAATTTCTTATCTAGCCAGGCAGCATGTTTTTGAAACAATGACTGAGATAAAACCCAAATAACAAGACTTTTGACAGTTAAACAGCTAAAATGCTGTCATTAGTTAGGGGACACTCTACATCGCAGCTGTGTAAGATAGGAATGGAGGAAAATGGTGGCAATTCCTTGCAGCACAGGAGTGTCACAGCAAATGGAAATGTGACACCTTCTACCTTGTACTGTATGCACTATTGTTCTGTACCATGCCAACTGGTGATACGTAAAATAACTATAAGTTGTTGAATGTGTGACAGTGTCTTCCAGCATGTGCCTGAAATCTGATTGTGAGAAAATCACATCCACTCATGCAGCTGCTGAGAGGGAAGAGTGAGGGAGGTTATAAACTGATACGGAATATGAGCTCAGGGTAACAACAGGCTTTACAGTGATCACAAGGTGTGCAAAAATCACAGTGGATTTAACACATGAAGAGCAACTTCGTTTTATGCTCAAATAAAAACACTGGGGTCCCAGGTTTCACAGTGTGGTTATGAATTATTTTGAACATTGTAATCATGGCCTTTCTATTCACTTTTCGTTATACCGTGAAGAGAGCAAAGTCAGAAAAAGTGTGGTGTTTTATAATATCTGATTTAGGATTATGAACCAGATTTAACCCCAGAGCAGACACACCACTGCTTTCTATTCAAATCTAGCATATCATATTTCAGCAAAAGTCTATGTCTAGATCCTTTTTACACTGATTGAAGGAGAAAAGGGTATATCTTTTTAAATAGAGGGGTGTTCTCCTTTAAGATTAGCAGCCACCAATCCTTGATGAAAGAGCCTAAAATGTTTAACCTTCTGAAGGCAAGTTAAAGCACTCTGACAGCTATGCTTTCAGAGCTGCTCTGCGTTTAGTATCGTGCAAGGAGTAAAAGAGAACAAGTTTACATTTTCTATGTACCCACAAATATCCCTAAAACTGACGCTGATCACACAGAAACACCATGGCCTGGAAGCATTCATAAAGCTGACAGCTGTTGAAGACGTTCCTATCAATGGAAGATGTCGAAAAAAATCATTACAAAGACACATTTGTATATCCCTCACGCTTTGAAATCATCCGTGTTGAATGATAATTCACTTTAGAAATCAAGGCAAAGATTGTGAAATCATATAGTTGTATCGGTGCAACTGGAGCCTGTATTCAGGGGCTGGAAAATGAACTGCTTCTCAATAGAGAGGAAACTCAGCATGCAAAAAAAAGAAAAAAAGCTAACCGAGCCTTTGCATGAAAACTGGAGGATTTGGAGGAGTCGAGAGAGAAGTAAAATTGATAGTGTGTGAAAGAGCTGAGGGGGAAAAGAAAGTGAGAGAAGCAATAGACTTGCCGGCAATGTTATGAGATGCTGTTTTGAGAAGAGGCATCCTGTTTCCTGTTGCAGTAATCGTTTTACACCCTCAGAATCCTCCCTTGACCTTGGAGAAATTGTTCTCCAACCATGCATAACCCCTTTTTTCCACACAGATTACAACACATAATCGAGCATGAATCGCAAAATATATATTTAAACCTTCAAATATCTTAAAAGACATACATATAGGAGATGATAACACTGAATGAAATTTGAAGTCGAAGGGGACTTGCATAGCTTGTGTTTTAAGCATAAATTGTGAAAGAATCCAATATATATTAATCCAACACTAAAAGATAGCTCAGATTAAATACCTTCACCCATTTACATACATTTGCTATGGATGTTATTCAAACACCCTTGAGGCATTGTTAATTTAATCCTTTTGGATTTTGTAAATGATTCTGTATTGATCACCGTGGATTGAGTGCTCTCTGCCGTCCTCAGGAGGGCCTATTACAGTGAAACCTAGAATCCAGAGGAAAACTGTGGAGAAAGCTGCAGATGTGAACAAATTGTCTCCCTCTAGTGTCCTCTCCTCTCTGCTTCTCCTCTGCTCAGACAGAGAGCACCTCTCACACTGCAGGGAGAGAGCCAGACTGACACATGCATAATTGACAGTCCTATTTCAGGAATTAGCCACCCACCAAACTGCAGCCTACCCTACCCTCTTTCATCTTGCCCGGAATAACTTAGCATCTTAAAAAGTCTATTTCAGCCTACAGGATGATTTAATTGTAAAATGATGAGTTTAATAAATAATATTTCCTTTCTAATCACGGATTTCCGAAGCGTGGTTGTGTAAAAACGCTGTCGACTGATCGTGATATGTGAGGAGGATCACTGGGACTGCGTGCGATTGTTAGCACATAGAGAAACTGTTTGAAGTCAGATCAGTGGGGACGGATGTTCTGGTGATGAATGATTTCTCTCCCCCATTATGCCCTCTGTAACTACGCAGATGAGTTAATTAAGCTGAGCCAGAGGCTACGCACTAGCATTCCAGGTGGATGGGCCACTGTGATATTCAGATCTACATTATTAAAAAAACTGTGATATTGACTTTTGAAATATCTAAAATGCATAAGGCTGCTGAGAGGCTGCAAATTATCTTTGTATATTTTGAAAAATAGAACATTCCCTTTTCCCAGAGACCAAAAGAAAAAGAAGAGCTCTCATCTTTTACTGAAGAATCAATCAAAATGTACTTGTAAAACGTATAATCATTGTGCACAATGGCCCATTTCAGAAAAATGCACTTTATAATATTGTTTTAAAAATAATGAAGCATGTGTGTTAATCATTTCAAATACTGCCGCTGGTATAGAGAAGGAGTTATTTTAAACTCTGGGACGCTAATGGATTTAACAAGGGATCAACAAAATGTTATCTTAAACAATAATAACACATTTATCTGTTGACTTTGTTTGGTTGTATTCATCTAAATCTCGATTATCAATGTAACTGAAGTTAATAAATAAATCTAGTGGAGTGAAAAGAACAATATTTGCCTCTGAGATGTAGTAAACGTATGAAGCAAGTAGTAATCGAGTACAAGTACCTACATATTGTGCTTGAGTGCAGTATTTGAGTAAATGTACTTAGTTACAGTCCACCAGAGCCAAAAGCACAAGTACCACAAAATAGCTTGAAGTACTCCAGTTATATTACCATGTATATTACAGACCGAGCAACAAGATTAGCATTTTTGGACCTCAGTATAACATTTTTAAAAGTATTTTTTTACACATGGGTTTTCTTTCTTTGAAAACCAAGCCTGCTCCAACACAAGTGTATGATGATGACGACATCATTTAGCTGCTCCACTGGGCTGGGAGATAAGCTCGCGCCCCTGCTGCTCACCGGGATGTTCCGGCTGCTGATGGTACGACTACAGAGAGAGCTGTGTGTTACAGATGATGATGAGTGGCATTAAAGCAGCACCAGGAGCCATGCTATTACCTACACAGTATATATATATATATACAGTACATACACTGTACTGTATACAGTCAGCAGTGGAGAGAAGGATGTACAGTTGGCCTTTTAAAGAGCT